AAGACTGAGTTTAACTAAATCTGATCTTGACAGACTACCTGGAAAATGGAACACATGTCCAGCACTCCCTGACAAGAACAGACTGAGGGGGAGTCATTGCTGGAACACATAACTACTGACAAAAGCAATAACTGAAAAAAGAAAAGAGAGTGCAACAAGAAAGCCACTCTCTAAATGGTGTGGCAATTGAATCCTCCACAGGACCCACTGGGGAAGGAATCTTCCCACTGAGGAAACTTCTGTTTTGGTAGACACATGACTTCTTGCACCAAAAACGCTGACTAAATGGATGCAACATGTTAAGATCATAATGTAACAATCAACGGGAGGGGAACAAAAGTTAGTGTAATCGTTTAGTTGAGTTAAGGACAAAGCAAACAAGTTGGTTTGTGCCTTCACAAAGGAGCTGTAATTTCTCCAGCATGTTAATTCAGCTGTTTTCAGTCATAGGGACATACCTCTAGTCACACCACTGCTAGCAGGCAGCTTTGCACAGCCATTCCCCAAAGCAGCAAAGCTAGTCAACAACTGGAAAAAGAGGAACAGCATCCAACACCAACATAGGCCACGCTCCCTACAGATGGAAAGACAGCTAATTCAGCAGCTATTCAATTAATATAGTCTTCACATTGCTCTTCCTACCTTGCTTCAGTTTCCTGACCTACACTGTCCACCTCTCTGTAAACTCAAGCCAGTTGGAAGCTTTTGGGAGCCCACAAGCAATGTCTGCCCACATGCAGCACATCACAAGCAGCACAGAAGCAACTGAACCAGCTGTGACACTTCTGTTTTCAGAAGCCTTTCTCTCCTCCTTCCACTGACAAACCACAGATTGCAGTTGTTCTGGCTCCGATAACAGGCCAAAATCCTAAGTACATAGCAGCAATTCTCTGAACACTCACCCAAACTTCAATAACGTGCAGCATAGGGGTTTTTTGAGACCCAAATGGTTTCTCTGCATTTAGCGACCTTGAATAGTTCCTCCTCCTATAGGACCGTCCTGTGTCCTCAGTTACACATAGATGCTTGGCATTCACAACATCCTGTGGCAAGAAGCTCACCAGGTTACCCGCACACATCAAGGACTAAGTCTTTATTTGGTTTTAAGCTACTACATGCTCGTTGTACTCAATACCTATTCATACTTGTAATGGAAGAGTTGTTCTCCCTCTCACCTTTCCATGTCATTCAAGATTTTGAAGGTATCTGTTACTTATCTCTTCTCAGACGGAAGAGCCCCAGTTTAATCAGCTGCTCTTTGCATGGGAGATACTCCTCACCTTTGATCCTTGTTGCTGCTATTCCATTTTGAGTGATTGAACAGAACCTCTTAGAAATACAATTTCCTCAACTGCAAAAAACTCAACTTGTAAATGAGTTGGAGAAACTAGTTTGATTATTTTCAAATCCAGACTTCCCATCTGCTATAATGAATTGCTACAGTTAGCTGGTTCTCTGTTAAAACACACACGCTAACTTTTCAGATTTACAGATTTACTTTTAAATTTACTTTCAAGTCACAGCATTTTTCAAAAACTTTCTCCACATTAACACTTTAAATACAAATAATGACCTTATCCTTCATCAGGGCAAGCTAAATTATGTATATGCCAGAGCTTTATTCTGTCACATAGACTCTCTGTGAACAATAGGAGATATCAATGTTTCCCCCCTCAAATATAGGCACAGTATTCACCAGTTTCCAAATACCACATAAAACAGCAACATCCCTACCGTTACTAAACATTGTTTTCTGTATTGTCTTCTGCATTTGGGTTTAGACATATTGTTTTACCTCAATGCCCTCGAAGTTTCCAAGTAATTTTTTCTTTCTCAAATGCAAAGTTCCTTCCTAATTATTATTGACATTCTTGATTATGTGACGCAGGACTTTACTTAAACCCCCTATTTACACATGCCCAGCTCGCTAAGTAATCTAATCTTTCCTGTCAGGTTGAAACATCTGGCTTTTCTATATCCATTGCCAGTTTCCATATTAAGAGTTGAACAGATTTTTTTAAATGCAGAACTGTAGCTAGAATAAAGAAATGAGGCCACTGAAACCAAAAACAGAATTCAAAAGAGGGCAGACATATTACCTGCAATTACACTACTGAATGTTAACTAGCTTTTTCTTTCACCTCTCTTTTTTTTTCTTTTTTAAATAAATAAATGTTTGTCTCATCATTTGAGGCTTTGAACCGCTGCCTATCAAGGGATAGAAGAAAGAACTCAACCCACAAATGGCTCCTTACTGCTTCTGAGCAAAGGGGAACCCTCTTCTCACAGTGACTGAGGAGCACACAGGACTCAAGGTTCCTTTGGTCCAGCACAACGCAGCAATTCCCATCTCTGCCACTGCATCAGATGGGCAAGACATCAGCTTTTCCTAAAAAGCTACCAGAACCAGCTCAATGGAGCTTCCCACGTCTTTGGTGAAGTCAGGCTGTGCCAACCCTGGAAGTTACGCCAAGGCTGTATCTAGAACCTAACAAAGGAGCTTATTTTCACATAAGCATCCACCCGGTCAGCACTATTACTACTGTTTGCCTGTGAAATCACTGCAGGTGTAGCAGATTTGGAAATTTATTCCTCGTCCCATTGTGGATATATGCACAGCTGCATTATTTTTCCTCTAATAGAAGCTCATATGGCACTAAAACAAGAATCTAGCTGTTATGAGGTTAAATAATTAAACAAATGGAGCTTACACAGCTAACAGAAAAGCTGAGCAGGCAGTGGAAGACATCTGGAAAACAGGATTGAAAAACAGCAAGATGCAGGACCAGAGAGCGCTTTGGACTTGTCTTTCACTGGAATATCCTATTTTGAATGGGAGCAGCAGTTCAGGGTAGTTATGCAGAGCATCATGTCACAGACAAAGGGAGCTGTGGGCCCAAATCTAGACATACCAAAACCCCCACTATTCTGACCACTTTGCAGAGAACACAATATAGAGAGCAGCTTGCAAGGCATAGGAAGCCACGAGAAAGGTCTACAGCCAAAACACAACATCACATTTGCTGTAATTGGAAAAAGGCCGTGTTTCCCCCACCCCACTGCAGGTGAGGGCTTTCTCCAAAAGGATTCCCAACTCACACTCAGAGCAGCACAGCAGTTACATGTTTATTCTCATTCAAAAGGAGAAAAGAGGAGCTCCACAGCGAATAAGCAGTGTACAAAACCTCTTCGATCCTCTTTAAACAGCATAGGGAGCAAGGGGGAGGAAAAAGTAATATACACTCTCCCAGGTGAATTGCTGCTGCACAAGGACGAGACAGATAGAGACTTGGGTAACAATAACCCCCATTTCAGAAGTTGGTTTGTTCAGCCATGATCTTCTGCACTTAAAGGTACTAAAAAGCATTTCCCCTCATGCACTTCTGCTGGAACACTGTTTCAGTAGGATCTGGACAGAATCAGCTGGATCTCTCAAATACAGCATATAGGCAGTACACAGATCTGTGTCCCTTCTGCAGTCCTTTTATTTCTATGTATCCCAAAAGCATGGATTCAAAAGAAACTGGCCTGAATTTCAAATAATCTCAAGTACTTACTCATTCCCTATTTCAAACAGCTTTGATTTAGTGGTTTTACTTGCACCACCCAGAGCCGATGCAAAGCTGAGGAAACCAGACTCCCCAGCCTTTGTACATGTGTTATGTATACTGAAGATTTATTCTTGGAGGCTCCAGTTCAAAATAGATTTTTCCCAAAGCTTGCTCTTTAACATCCACGATTTTAATCCAGCTTTACTGCCAAACTGAAACCAAACAGGCAGCCTATATGCAGGCTGGAGCAGTTTCTCCCTAGCTTTCTTCATGGTTTTTACTTCTGCCGAACCCTCCTACTGCTATAATTGCATGTCCAACAAGCAGATTTTCCTCCATCCTCCTGATGAAGAGCTCCCAGGGCTCTTCATCCAGGGCTCCTGAGCTCCAGGGCTCTGTGATGATACACATCTCTCTCATGCAAGGCTTGGTGACTCATCTGAATCAGCACCCAGAGCCCGAGCGCCAAGGTTTCATTCCCCATCAGATCTGCAGATCTCTGCCTCTCATTCTGTCTGAGATTTCTGCCGTACCACCCTGCATTTGAAATTCAAATTCCAGTATTCAAATTCCACACATTCACTCAGTGTGTTTTGCCAGGCTAGCTGAAACAGGAGTTGCAGCTATCCTGTTTAACAGGAAGCAGCCTCGAATGAGAACTGGGTTTCAGGCAGACACTTCTTCAAGGGTCTCTAGCTGTCAACACGAAGCTCTGGCAGTGCAAAGCAGCTCATCACAGCGCATACCTATTGGCAGCCAGATACGAACATCACCCCCGGCTCCAGGAAGCTGTCTGCAGGTTTGGCTATACTCGCTGGCCCATTTTGGCAATATATTGTGGTCAAAGAACACATTTCTTTCAGTTCTGATACTTTGCTAGCCTTGGGGTCTCTGCAAATCCTCTACTGCCTGTAAGTTAAACCTCTTCTCTAGCAAATTCAAATTTTACATGTCCCCTGTTATGTCACACGAGATCCTGAGGTGCAGAGAGGACTCTCTGCAACATGACGGTACCTCCGAGCCCATAGATCCCAGCTGGTCCTTCAAGAAGGGGAGAAGCCATGGGGGAGGAGGACCAAGACAAACATGGAGCGGAAAAGGCAGAGACAACCGCTGGATGCATCTATGTCCTGCAGAGCTCTGCAGATAATGTGCCGCTGAAGGGACGGCCTCCCATCCTTTACACGAGCCCGCATAGAGGCAATGACTTCACATTCTCACATAGTGCCACCCACTCATTCCCATGGATCATGCGCATGTGGGAACCCGCTTGTTCAACTAACCACACTTGGTACAGTTATTGTGGCACATTTATTGTGTAGCAGCACCAAGAGGCTGCCCAACATTACGCTGTCTGCACAGAATGAGATGATCAGGAACAGTGAGGCCCCCCGCGGGCTGCACAACCCACGGGTGCCCTCGTGCTGACTCCCGGCGCATTTTGCTTACCATTTGGACTCTTGGGAACGCAGAGACACCTTCATTTCTCTTATTGAAGAGTGTGCCTCAAGCTGGAAAAAACAACATAACATGAAATGCAAAGACTATTTTTCCAATAAATTAAATCCCTGCTGCACTTGACTCCTGCTGCGGTTCCCCTCCCCTTGAGAAGACGAGGTCTGGCCAGCTGCACAAAGTCCAGGCAGCCTGGGAAAACAATGGGATCTTTTTCTTTCCAGAACGAGCCTTCCTGTTCACCCTTCGAACCATGGCATGGAAGACACCCCCAGTGTGTCTGCAGGGAGAGGAGTCTGTTGGCATAGCAACAGTACACCCTAACTCTCTGCTAATGAACAGGGATAAAATGTTTTGTTCTCATTAGGAAAAATACAGACACATTCCTGATTGGTGAGTAATGTCTCTGCCTCTGGGAGATTAGCTCGGGGCTGTGCAGCCTGAAACAGGCTCAATTCAGCCCACTGCAGCGCTTCCCTTGAACGGCCGCTCTCCAAGGACCGTGCGTTTCTCAAGGGCGAGTCCACGGAGCCTTCGGAGCGCTTCGCCGCGGGGCCTGAGACAGCTCAAGGCAAGAGTAGGAAGACAAGAGGCTTGACAGGAGCAGCACACGGGAACACAGCCCTGGGCCCGCAGCACCCGCTCGTGCCTCCGAACCCAGAGCGGCTCCTCTG